GCCCCCCGGCCCGCCCCGCCCGCGCCGCCGCTGTCACTCGCCGCCCGGCTCCGGTGCGGACTCCCCTGCAGCGGCAGGTAGGGGCACGGCCTCCGGCCGGCGGGGGGGGGGGGGGTGGGGGGGGTGCTGTACGGCCAGATCCCCCTCTCCCCGGTCTATCGGTACTGCTTTTCGCTGTCCCCACGCCGAAAGCGTGAAACGGGGGGGGGGAGAGGAGAAAAAAAAAAATCCAAACCGACTATTTCAGCCCCAAAAAAATCGCCGCGGAGGTGCCGCTTTGCCCAGGGGGCCGCCTCGGCAGCCCGCTCGCTGCAGCAGGGCGAGGGGCGTCCCCTGCGGCAGCGCTGCCGCCCGGCTGCAGGTGCGCGGCGGGGCGGGGTGGCCGGTGGGAAAGGAGGGAGAGGGGGGGCGGATTTTTTTTTTCTCCCCCTTCCCTTTTTTCACCCCCTTTTTTTTTTTTTTTTGCCCCGTTCCCTGGGGCAGGTGGGGCTGGGGGCTGTGCTGGCGGGGCTGCGGCAGGAGGGGCGGGCAGCGCCTTCCCGCCCCGGCGCGGTGCCATCTTCTGCAGCCGCCCTCGGGGAGGGGGGAGGTAGGGAGCAGCTGTAATTAAAAAAAGATAAATTAATCAATAATAGAAAACCATGAGGAAAAGGTGTTTCAGAAAACGGAGCTGTCCACGCCCAGCCTTGAAATTTGGGGGTGGCAAGCGTTATTGAGGTCACGGCGCTCTGGAGTTGCCTTGCTTTGTTGCATCCCCCAAATGCCCCGGCCGAGGGATTCCAATATTTAATGTTAACAGCGAGGCAGCCCAAGGTGGGTTCCTGTGCTGTTAAGCCCTGGGTGTTTTCCAGCCAGGCTGGGGATGCTGGTGCCGATTCCCATGGGTTTGGGGCTGGGGTGGTGCTACTTGGTGTAACTGGTGGTGTCGGTGGTCCCTGGATGTGCCTCGCACCTCACAGGTGTCCCCGTGTAGTGCTGAAATTGCCCCCTTGTCGCTTTCATTAGTCTCTTTCCATGCTGCGTGTTCTTTCTTGTCCTAAAATTGCACCAGGTGGGGCGTGGGGCTGGCCCCCTTTCTGGGGTTTGCTTTTTTTCCTTTAGCTGCTGGGTATTTCTTTGTTTTAAGTCTAACTTCACAGATGTGAAAAGGGAAGTTTTCTTGCCGGGTGTTTCCAGGTGTGCTGCGTGGCACACCTGCCCTCCTGGCTTGGAGCAATTAAACCCATAAGGAGTAGAAACAGCTTACTTCAGGGGAGGGATGGAGATTTCTGCCTGCATCCCTGGCTACAGTGTTAGCGCAAGGGAGGATTCGGTTAGGGAAGATGATTTTTTTTTTTTTTTTAACACCTAGAAATGCAATCCTGTTGTTCCTTTGCAGAGGGCAGCTGCCATCACTTTAAAGGGAGTTTCTCCTTCCATTTGCTGGTGGTACCACCACGCGAGGTGCAGCTCCATTTGCAGCGAGAGGCTGGTCTTGCTTAGAAACGGGCTTGCTGGAACGAGCAGCTGAGATGAGCTAAGCTGTCACTTCAGCAATTTGTATGCAGTGTATTCCTAAGCTGCTCTGCGTTTATCTGTGTGGATCTGGGCAGATGTCTAATGTGTGTCTGAATGAGTGGAACAAAATTCACTACTGAGAATCATTAATTTGTTCTGTTGAGCAATGACTGCCCTCTTATATCTGATGAAGGGTTTTTGCCTTTGCTGCCAATACTCCAGATTTGGAGTGTTTAATGGTTTTCCTTGTGCAGTTCAATTTTTTTTTGCATTTTTTTTTTCTCAAGGTGGTCTGTCAAAACAGGTCTCAGTTGGGTGCTTACAGGCTGCTCTTGAGAGAAGGAAAATTAAAATCTCATTCTCTCTAGAAATGAGAAATAGTCTAACCCAGTTACACTTTGTTCCCTCTTAATATGCAAAATGCTTGGGTTTTTTAAGGATCAAAGCAAGGTGCTGGCTGATTTACCTGTAGTGCGTAGATGTTTTCCAGGCAGATAATTAACACCTGATGAAAGTATTGCATTTTCTCGTTCTTGTTCTAGATAGAGTAATGGTCTTTGGAAGGAGGTATATGGCTGTGCCATCCCCCAGTGTTAGCAGAGGTACCTCTTGCTGCTGAATGCCCTTGGAATTGAAGGGTTGTGTTCAGGGCTTTGGAATTAAGATGCAGGTGGGGTTTGGTTTTTGAGACTTGGCTCTTGTGCTCTGGGGAAATGGGATGCCTCTTCCACAGGTTGGTTGCTTGGGTCTCCATCCTCCATAAGGCTTGATTGTAGCATGAGAGGGTCTTAGGACAGTTGAGTCTTGAACACACAGAGCTTAAAATGAAACACCTGGTGAACTCTGGTTTAAAAGGTTATTAGGCCATTAGTGTGTGCATGGAGGTGTCCAGTGCTGTGGGTCTGTCTTCATCTTGCACAGCAAGATGGCCAGAGGTTGACCCTTGAGAAACTTAAACTAAACCAGCTCTGCCTGTTTTAATGAGTGAAAGCGTGAAGCATGGTTGTCATCGTTTGAAGCCTTTAAACGAAGACTCTGTTTCTCTCTAAAAGAGGACCATTTGTTCAGCCCTGCTCTGGAACAGCTTGCTGCTGATCTGCAGCTTTCAGGTGAACTTGTTGCAAAGGTCCCATCTGACATGAACATGAGACACATCAAGATGTTGTGGTCTCTGCCTGGGAGAACAAGGCTGTTAGCTACTCTGGAAGGGGCAGGTGGCATCACAGATAAGATGTGGACAATTATCCTTCATCAGCTGGGATTAGCTGAGATGAGGACAGAAGTGACAGGACCTCTGTGTGCCCTGTGGGGAGTTCCCGTGGAGAGGAGATGGGTCCACTCCCTTCAGGTGACAAGTGCAATAGTATGTGTTTTGTGTGTGTCCCTCCCTCATTACTCGCCCTTTTCAAGTACTGTGTTAAGTATTTACAGGTCAGGCTTCTCATGTAGTCTTCCTCACCCTGTGTCAGTTCTGCTGGGTTGCCTGCCCTCTGCTTCCAGCCTTTCTTCCCAAGGCATTTCGTTCAAACTGTCCCATTCCCTCTGTGCTTAATAAACTACAGTTTCAGCAGGGCTCAGCTGGACCAAGTAAACATATTTATCAGTCCTGAACAAGGAGTGCTGCAGCTTTCTCATTTCCTTCCTGAAAGCCATGGGGAAGCCTGCTCCCCTGGCCAGGAGAGTAGTCCTCATAGGATAAAAACAAGGGAGATGTGACACTGCAACTGCTCTTTCCACGTTGAGACTGAGCCTGGTGTATCTAGTCAGGGACACTTGTAGCATGCCAGTAAGGTGGACATCTTAATCTTCTGCCTTTCGTGTTTCCCTGCTTCATTTTGAAGACTTGTGTTCTTCATTGCATGCTTGTCCACCTATGTTGCATCATTGTCTTTTTTCAGTGTTTTGCCAGCCGTGGGATTTGGAAGTGTTCGGGTACCACCTTGCTCCTTACGGATTTGCTGGGGCTTAGCTGAGCGGTTCTTACTGGGTAGTAGCAGGGAGTAGAGCAAATTGCTCCTTGATGATGTTTATATTCTCATTTGGAAGTTGGTCTTTGCAGCATCATGGGCCTGTTAGAAATGGCTGGGGAAAGCCACGTTGAAAATGCTTTTGAAATGGTCTCTCTGCCATTTCTTCTGAAAGTCTATGTTATCAGGATGGGAGTAACAAATTGTCCTGACGCTTACCGCAGCACAACTGTAACCGCTTTGCCTGTTGGCATCTGTGTGTGCCTGTACGGGCATTTGGCATTGCTGTTTGAGATGCTGGTGCTGGGGTGTGTCCACGTCCAGACTTCCAGACAAATCCCTTTTGGTTTGCAAAGCGTTGAAAATTGGATCATGAAGCAGTGTCTGAGGGGAAATGCTGAGGGTGGCCATTCCCTTTTTTCCCCAATAGGAATGTTATTCAAAAGCTGGAAGAATGCTGTAGATTTCAGTTTGTCTTGAGCAGAATAAGCTTATTTTGCCAGCCCAGCGTGCTGATGAGGCTTGGTTGTTGTCTCTGCATCTTTTGAGGGAGTGCTGCTAATTTAGCTGTAGCAATGCTCCGGCACTTGATGAATTAGTCAAGAAAGAATCAGGGCGCTGGCTTCTACCCAGCACCCAGTATTGTCCAGTTTGCTTAACCTGCTGGTTGATGAGGTCAGTTGGCTAGTAGGTTGGCTTATTGCTTCCTAGGCTGTGTGCTGGCTGTATGTAGGTGTGGGGCTGGACTGTGAGAGTTGGAAGCTCGTGGTGAAGTGCGCTGGACTTGTGGCAGACTGATGGGTCCTTTGGGTGATGCTGAGAGGGTGTGTGGCATGTCAGGGCTGTCTCTGGAGCTGCTGGAACATGGCACAGGTTTAGGAGGGTCATGGCTCTGCACGCAGGTAAAGCAACCAGCCCCTGAACAACAGGGTCATGTGTTGTGCTTTCTGGGTATATGGCTTGCTCTAAGGTCTGCAGATCTGTGTAGTCTGTGAAAAAGCACTGTGAGCCCTTTCTTGTAAAAGCAAAATGGACCTCTCTAGTTGTATTAGAGCAGCTGAGACTTAAACAAAATCAGAGATGATTGTTTCCCTTGTGTGCCTGCCCTGTGGCCAGGTGGAAGGGGAACCCCAGACTCAGCATCTTGGTTATTCCCAGCCTCTGTTCAGAGAAGCATCAGCTGATGTCTTGGGGAGAAGGACAGCGGCTCTCAGGGGATCTCTCACTAGTACTGCAGTTACATGGGAGCTGGGCTGGCTTTCTAGGTTTTTCTGCCCATCCAGTGTAATCTCTGCTTTCTACCTCAGGAGCTTTGCTTGCTTAACTGTGGTGTTTAGACTCCAGAGGTGGGCTGGTACAGTGTCTGGGGCTCACCCCAAGGGCATGTCCTTGCAGCTGGCAGTGCTTATCAATAAAGGAGGCAGTGCTGCAATGCCTGGGTTGCCAGCAGGGCTCTGCCTACCTGTGGAGGGTAAGAAAAGAAAGGAGGTAATTGCAGAAGTAACTTGAGCTGGCTTTCTAGTCCTTGCAGAGCAGTACAGAGATGTTCCCACTTATCTCCAACCAGTTCTGGGGAGAAAATGAAGGTCAGTGATCCTGGGCACAGGTCAGCAGGCTGTTTGGTGGCAGGTAGCCCTGCCAAAACCTTGTAGAGCACCAGGCTGGCTCAGCCTTGCCCGAGGTGCAGCCCTCAGTTTGGATCACTGCTCCTTCACAGAGATGCACAAGTGGTGGAGCGTCTGCTCTGTGCAGCATTGCTCCCGCCTGGCTTTTTAGCATGAACAGCCCTCAATCCCAAGCTGTCTTTGCAGATCACCCCCAGATGTGGTGGATATAGCAGAGAATTCTGGCCCTTCAGGTTATCCCTTGTGTGGTTTTTAAGGTGGGCACAGCTCTGCTGTGCGAGACTGTGAATAAATCGCTGAATCTCTTCTTGAAGTAGGATGGATCTCCTCCATCTGCGAGTTGAAGCTTTGTTTCGCACTGAAATCTGCCGGTTGTAGGCTGTTTCTTAAAGTGCCTGTGGAAAGCATATGCAGTTTACACTAGAGTCTGGAGGAGATGTATTTGTGCCTTTAGACTTGAGTGGATTTTCTTTGCAAGTCTAATGAGCCCTTCATGCTTCTCAGAAATCAATCCACTGATCTTTCTCTTTCCCTTCCATGCAGTTTGATTAGTAAAAGCAGTCATTATGTGTGGTGTGGCTCCCGTTTTCAGTGTCTTTTCTTTAAATATCCAAGGAAAGGGAGCACCAGGGGATACCTTCTGTTAAGCTAAAAGGATTATCACCACAGTTGGGCTAATTATTTCCATCTTTGCAGCCTCCCCACTGTACCTGCCCTGACCTCTCTTCCTAGAGCAGATCCGGTATCACTGTCTGTCCATCTTTGCCTCTATGCCCTCCCTTGGTATTCTTCTTGAATTGCTTCAGAGTGGTTGGTGGGATTGCACCATTAGTGCCCTGGGAAGGCACGTGGGTTTGCCTCTCAGCTGTCCTGTTAGGCTGGTCAGTGTGTGTGTTGCTCTAAATGAGCTGTGGCTTGGGTGTCAGTGATGATGCTGTAAGGCACATGGGAAGGATGAAGGCTGGGGGGTTATTTTGGGATGAGGTGCAGTCTTAGGGGACATACTATACAAATCCATAGGAAGAAGGCCCGTATTAAACTCTGCTGTTCATGGAGGAACTTCAGCACTTACAAGAGAGGTGATGAAACCACTTGTGTTCATTGTTTTGAATAGTGTGTGTGTGACTTTGAATGCCATGTGCTACAGAGTTGCAGGGCTTTCTGCCACTTGTCAGTATTTCACTTCATGGCTCCCCATCAGCTCCTGTCCCAGGCTGTCTGCCTGGAAGTGCCTGATGTAATTTCAGATGGATTTCATCAGTGTGTCAAGTCACTTGCTGCAGAATGAAATTCCTGGAGGTGTTTGTAAATGGCTCAAAAAATCTAAAGAAGCCTCTCCCATGATCCTTGAACATGTCCAGCTCAGTAATGTGTATGTTTGTGCTGGCCTGGAGATCTGTCTTTGGAAGAAATCAACTGTCTTCCATACATTGGAAAGAAGTGTTTGCTGGGATGTCCTTTTGAAGTTGAAATTGGAGAAGTAGGGGAGTGTTCAGAGTGGTGAAATTCTTCCCTGCCTAAGAAACATTTAATCTTCTGTTTGATCAAAGCTTGACTTAGATCCTGGGTGTGTTGGCTTGGTCTTACCATGAAAGGAGTGTGTGCGTCTTGCTCACAAGCAGCTCTGCTCCTTCTTTCTCTCAAATGTCCTTTCATGTGAGCTTTCTGGTGCAGGGAACATGTCTGGCCAGCTGTGCACATTCTCAGTTGAGTTGAGGGCAGGGCAGGTGTGTCAAAGTCAAGATGAGAGGCAAAGTGATGGGCAGGCAATGTTTTTCTTGGCTGGCTGCTGTGGCTTCACATATCCAGGTAGCAGAGTGAGTCTTTGGCAGAGGGTGAAGGGCGTTACTCCCCAGTGGTGGGTGGTGGGTGCAGGGACCACATGAGCTCTCATCAGGCTGAGATGCAGCAAGATGTGAGCGGAAGGGGGACAAAAAGGAGGCCAAAGAGATGGAGTAAAGCTGGCTGAGGGAATATGTGCATACTGTCTTCTCCCTAGGTCGCTGTCCCAGGAAGGGTCTGTTGGCCCTTGGTGACTGGAGGCACAGTAGTGGGAGGAGTGCGGGAGCAGCAGGAGGCTTCGGAGTGGTGATAAGCAGCATGTCTGCATGATAGTGTCAGAAATATTTGTCCAGGCTGAAAATCTGCTAGCACTGGGCTTATAGGTGACAAAATGTTCCTGTCCTGGTTTGCAGTGTTCAAGGTGAGAGTGTTCATTGAGTGGTTAGTTTGAGGACACAGTGATGACAGAAGGTGTGCCAGAAAGAGACTTTCCCAAGAGAAGGGGTAATCCAGTGGGATGAGCTTCCCAGAGTTTGGTTTGTAGCTCTAGCCTTTTGTGAACTCTCAGGGTTATGTGTCAGTGCAGGCTGGCAAGGGGAGCCTCTGTATGAAGATGCAACTCTTATCTGAAAGCACACTTCACTTTGGTTAGAAGAAACCTAAGATTTGTAAACGTGGCTCATGTTCCTTTCCTAATGCTGACCCACCTCATACAAAATGCTGACTAGCTCCATGCAGGTGCTATTTTATTACTCTCCCACTGCAGATCCTGGATGTGATGGGGTAAGAGTTGCTGGGACTGAATTACTTTTGTGGTTTAAGGTGAGACCTGTGATGAAGCTGGCTTATATGGTTGTGTTACAAAAGTAGAGCTTCATGTGCTCTCTGCCGGTAGCTGTAGCTTGTGGTGTCAGACATCAGCTGTTAGTAAGCACAAAGCTGGGATTTAATCTGAAGTCAGTATTGCCTTTTGTGGTTCATTTTCAGCTCCCACTTATTTTGAATTCGAGGGCAGACTTTACCCTAAGCAAATTCTTCCCTCTGAAGTTACTTCTCTGTATGTGGTTTTACCTACTGCCTCGTCAGCATGACAAATGATGCTGCCCTGGAGCTAGCTGGAGGGGTTTGTAGAAGTAGCTTTTAACAATGGGCATCTCCAAATTGGACAGAAAACTACATGCTTTTCCCTTGGCATCTTCTGGTGTAATAATGGAGAGCCTGGCAGGCATATGTAAGCAGAAGTAATAAATGTTGCTGTTGGCTACAAAAAGGAAAGCAGGTAAAAAGTCTTATCTACAGATCTACTGCTCAGGCTGTGGTGTTGCTTGTAGTCACTGCCCATCAGTAAGCAAGAGAACAGATTCAGAAAGGATGGGACTAAAATGAGGGTATTGGACTTATCCTGTGACAAAGGGAGAGACTCTGAGGCTTGTGAAGAGGAGACGTGCAGGGGTTGTGGTGGTGGGTAGCTGACCTGAAAAGGGCAACTGTGAGCTGGAGAAAGAAGTCTACCACGATGCTCCCAGGTTTTGTTCTCATCCTGAGCAGTGTGTGCATCTTGGGCACCTGCCAAATCCAAGCACCATGTGCACACGTAGGCGTGCTGTCCTGTCTCCTTTTCTTTCTCATCAATCTTTCCTGTTCCTTACCTCTTTCCCTTCCATTTTAAATCTTGCCCAGCAGACCCAGATCCATGTTGTTCTGTGGTGGTCCTGGGAGCTTCTTCGCTGAGGCAGCCGGTGCTTGCCTGGCCCTTTCCTTAGGTAAGAGCTGAGCAACTGGACTTGCTGAGAACAAGATGGGGGCCCAGCTCCCTGCAGGCTGTACTGGGCTCCCAGCATCAGGAATCTCTCATCTGCAGCACTGCTGAGGTGTCATCACTGCATCCTTATTTTATGGTTTTGTAGCCTACTTTGCATGAGTTTTGCCTTTCCCCTGTTCTAGTGTTAGCCGAATTACCTTGCCAGCTCCTCCCTTCCCCCAGGTTTCTCCAGGTGATAGGGGAAGAAAGTCATGAATACTGTTTAATGTGAAGGCACTTATTAATGCTTACTCTCTCAAATATGTCACTGCTTTTATTGTGTCTAATAATAGGGTTTATTGTCATGGCTGTCTTGAGGTCCATGCTCAGCTCCAAAGTGTGTTTCATCACTGCTGCTCATTTACTCCCCTTATGGAGGGGTTTTTGACTCCATGGGTTTGTTTGCTCTATCAACATCCAAGAGCCTCTTGGCGCTTAAGTTCTTAAATGGAAGAATCCTGTACTGTGGTTGCAGCAGTTTTTGTGTGCGGGTGAAAAGCACCTTACCAATGCTCGTGGCAAAATAGTTTGAAATGGCCTGGGTGAAATACTAGACAGTCCTCATTAGCAAGAAGGAGCTGGGCATACCTGGGTGATGCTGAAGGGAGATCAGTTGTGTAAAATGAGTTTTGGCACTGCGTAAGGATTGCTAGGCACTAAAGTCGTGTAGTCTGTGGAGAGAGAAATGCCCTGAATGCTTCTCCTCTGTGAAAATGGGCAGTTCTGTAAGATTGGTAAAGCTGTTGGGCTCCGGTGAGGCAGCAGCAAAGCAAACCCCATCTCAGTGTGAGAACAGAAGCCAGCATCTCCCACCTGCAGTAGACTGTTCTCTGCCTCCCTCGATGAGGAGTGACAAAGTGTTGTGGCTCTAGGTGTGGTCAGAGCCTCTTCAAATAGTCTGTCTCTATTCGTGCACTGCAATAAAAAGAAGCACTACTGAAATACAGGCAACCCTGTTTATTCCAGCCTTTGTATTAGTGATGTAGGGAGAGCCTGTGACCTTAGTGGACATGAATGGATCCCTTGTAACCTGAGACCAGGAGCAATATTATTTTAAGCAAGAAGTAAGGCTCTGAAGCAGGCTGTCCTTTTATACATATCATACATGTGACAGCAGAGCTGCATTTAGAGCTGAAAGAGGATAAAATCCTTGAGAAGACTGATTGCGTCTCATTTATTTTTAACAAATGTACTGGGGAAGATTGAGCCTGGATTCCTAGACTTGGGGCAGTCTTAAATTTGGACAATTTCCACTCTACATGCCTGTGGAAAGGAAGATGGGCACCAACTGGGCTTCCAGCTAATTCCTGGGTAAGATGAAACACATGGATTCTGATTTTTTTTATTTTTTTTTTTTTAAAGCTTGCTCCTCCTTTAGCCTTTGGGTTAGGAGGAGAAATAATGGTTTTACAATCTTTGGCTGAATTTATGGTCTGGGTTCCCATGTGGATTGTCACTATTCATGCTGCCTGCATCTGCTTTTGTTGCAAATCTGCTCATCGGCTCGATAAAACTAGAATCAAGGCAAGACAGATTGCTACCTAATTGTCATCCTGAGTGGCCCAAACTGGGTGAAGACCAGCTGGGGAGAGACATCCGAGTGCTCAGTAGGGATGTGTTTTGTGTATAAAGGATTTTATTTGCTGTTCATCCTTACTTGAAAATCCTTGTTTGTCTTGTGCCTCAGCATGGTTAAAACTGTGCTCCCTCATCATGAAAAATAAAGGTACAAATGCAGCTTCTATTGCGTTTTTATTGTTTTAGAAGCAAGAGCTCTGGTTCTCAAATTCTCTTTAACTTGTGCTGGGTATCAGGAGACACTACCATCGCCCACCGCGCCTCTCACTTGCTGTTTGTGGCGTAATGTATGAAACTCAGAGCTAAAACAGGCACCAGCACCCTTGGCTGAATGGCAGCAGCCCGTGAGCCGTCTGATCAGCTGCTCCCTGTGACTGAGGCCGCAACTTTCCTGTACTCAGTGAGGTGTGAACCCGTTGGGGTGCCCACCCATTTCCCTATAACTCACTGGCTTGGTTGGCATGTTCCAGTCCCTGCCCTCTCTGTCAAGAGTTGAATGATGCACTCATCCCTAGGCTGTGCTCTCCTGCTGATGTGTTTTATTTTGTTTTTTATTTATTCCTTGAGCTCTTCCAGATTAGTTTTTTTTCCTGCATTTATCTTCTTACTGCCCCTTCTGATACAGATTTAATAAAAAAATGCTGCTTTTAGTTTTTAATAAATACTGTTGTGAACATTTTGAGGAAACAGCGTTTTTTCTGCTGTTACGCAGTAACATGACGAGAGATGTAAGTGTAGCAGAAATGATTGATGAATGTCCTATTGTTTGTGTCTTTTGGCCTTAAAAAAAGACGTTCAGGAAGCATGCTCTGACTTTTGACCTCATCTGAAATGTCTCTTAGTCATGAAAAGAAAAAATAATGCAGAAAAGCTAGACAGAAGCTAAAATCGCCTTCTCCAAGCCCTGTCTTGTTGCATAGTGAGCGCTGGGATGAGGAAAAGTCCTGCTAAAGCCCTGAAAGCTTGCAAGATCTGTCATGTTTGTTTCTTTCTAGGGTAAGAAACCAGTGTGTCAAGAATGCATGACTCTTTCCTTCCCCTGTATTTATAGAGAGACTGTCCTGATAAGACATCCTGCTGTGTTCCAGGGCTGTCAGTCATCTTTGGGATGCTGGAACTGGACACTATGGGGCCAAAGGGTATTTGGTGCCCAGTTTGGGTATCAAGTGGCTAAAAGTAACGGCTTGGTGAGATAAGCACTGTGGACAAACTGTGCAGTGATGGTTTGTCACAGGTGTAGAGACCTGTGTTCCTACTGCAGTGGTAAGCTGTGGTTTTTCAGGCAAGCTGGTAATGCCTGGTCCTGCACGTGTGTGTCCGAGATGCTTACCCTGGGCTTCTCGCCACTGCTGAGGGCAGTGAGCATCACTGCTTAACCCAACTGCCTGCACACCCTGTCTGTTCCCTCCCTGTTCCTTGTGGCAGCAGTCGAAGTCTCTGCTGTGGCACACTGGAGACCACTTCTGTGTTGCCTATCTTTGCAGCTAGGAGCTCTGCAGACTTGGATCCTGTAGAAGTAAAATAGTGCTCCCTGGGAAAAACTCACCTGACTTGGCTTCTTCCCTGGGACAGGCTTTCTGCTGCTGCAAGAGCGATGCCAGCCACGGTGGCGTGGCAGTATGGTAGCTGGAGCAGATGGTGCTGTTGTCATCGTTTTGATTTCGATCCATGTGTTGAAACAGCTCAAAATAACTTAAGAAATGAAGGCCCAATCTGAGAAGATGCCTTGAATGCTTTCCTTGCCCTGAGAAAATCTCCTGCAGTATTAATGTCCACAGCACTTTCCTGGTTCTGTCATATCCACTCTCACTAGGATCACTCACATTTGTAGGCTAGAGCTGTGGCATGAAGAATCTTTTATATTTAATATCTTCATTGCTATGGCAGCATTGAATATTCACAGAACTTCTGTCAGGATGCAGCAAATGTTGTCAGCACTATGAAATCAAAGAAAGAGGAGCAGCTGAGATCAAAGTAAGCAATAAATACATACCTTGTGTCTTGACAGCATCTTTTTCAAGCTGGAGGCAAAACCTGGAGGGCTCAAGGTGCAGCTGGATAGTGGCTGGTGCTGGCCTCCCACGCTTTCCGCCTCTGCTACGCCGGTGCTCCAAAGCTGGGGTGAGATGACCCATAGCACTACTGCAACACACAACTTCTGCTTGTGAGGGCTTCAGTTTCTGCTGGTTTAGTACCTTGAACCACCTCCCAGTGGGGTGTTGGAGCAGTGCTGGTAGTGTAAGGAATAAGGACCAAGCAGTGTGATCTGAGGCTGGCTTGTGGAATTGCAGCCTGGCTTTGCCCAGTTTTGAGGTAGGGGCCTCGCTCTTTGGATCTTTCCACAATCAAAACATTGCTGCTCTGACGGCAAGGTATCTACTTTTTTTACCACGTATTTTGGGCCCTTCCTGTGGTGCTGCACCACATGTACACATGTTACTGGCTTGGTTAAGGTGGAAGGTGATACAAAGTACCCAAATCTTCAAGTCCATTTGCAGGTGTAAGTGAAGTTTTCTTCTCATAAAATTCTCTTAATTTATGAGGCTTCTGGTTGCACATCGATCTTCTCAGTGTCAGCATCATTTGAGCCTAGCATCAAACACAGCATCATCATCTGCATTTGTGCATAGAGAGGTAGGGGAAGGAAACTGGTGTGCAGCCGGCTCACGGCTTGCACTGAGGCCAGCTGGCTAGAGCAGCTCCTGGAGAATGTAGGATGTGGCCCTTCCCAGCACAGGAAGGCTTAATCCTGCTTGTTTGTCCCTGGGGGCCCTGGCTCTGTGCACCGCAGCAAAGGTGGCTGTTTTCTCCTGCAGCAAAGAAAGAAAAGATTCGTGGGGCTGGCAGGAAGGCAGCAGAGTACTGCAAGGGGTTTCTTTCCTTGCAGTGGACTCTGCAATTTTTGCACTTAAGTGCAGAATTTAACTTAAACTTCAATGCAGAGTGTGCTGATGGTGTGTGCGCTCTGCAGATGGCTCAGGGCTTGTATTTGATCCCATGTTTACACCAGGTTTCAGACATTTCTATAGCCTGTGGCTCTGGTGCACCAAATGGATGCTGTTGTGCGTGTGCCACTACAAAAGCCTGCGGAGAAAGGAAATTAGCAGAGCTTTGGTTCTTGCACTGGCAGTCGTCTCTGCTGGGTCCTACAGCACACTGCTGTGCTGCAAAGCAGTAGGTTGTAAAATGGAGACGGTGCTGGAGAGCTCACGTGCAGATGAACAGCAAAGCTGCATTCAAGGAATCGCTGTTCACTAACCTGCTAGAAATACCTTCATCTGGCACTTCGGTTGATCATGTTGCACACCTACTAGGTGGAGCGAGTGCCTGTCCGAGAGCCCAGCCCCACACCGTCTCATCAGCCAGCATGGGTATATTCACCCT